GCTAAAGGGGGAATATCTCCCAAAGAGAAAGTCTCTAATGGACACATAATTCAGTGGTGAGAGGAGGAAGTTCCACTGAGACAAAAAGACGGCTGCCAAGTTCTCATCCAGAGGAGAATCAGCATCAGGGCAAGGAATGTTAGCACCAGCCTTAGGAACAGGACTTCTTACACATACAGAGAGGGCTGTGATCTGGGTGCCTTGGAATTACAAAGTGCACACATCTCCAGCCCTGGCTGAATCGGTTATTTTCAGCCAGTACTTAGATTTGGTAAGGCATTAGGGTGTGTCCAGTGATTCTGACGGTATGTGGCAGTCTGGCAGGTGTGCTACACCTCCTTTCTGTTCCCACAGAGCCTTTCAGTTTGTATTACATCACTTCCTGTCATTACCCACATGCAACTGTTACTGAAAGGTTACTGGTCAGAACCCTGATTAGTGGAGGGAGGACCCTGCAGTAGTTGTGACTTGGCCCAGTAAGCAAACATCTCCACCCTAAGTACAATATGTATGTATGTGTTCAGGCTTCTGCTGGGTATTTTAACTGTATTTGGAAGGGATGTCCTCATCTCTGAATTAATTTTTCTGCCTGAAATAATTTGCTCTATTGAGGAATGTAAAATGGGGAAATTAGGAATGTTAGACTGGTCCATTTTTATACTTATAGGCCTATATGTGTTAATATCATTATAAGCATACCACAATCACCTAATCCTGCAGAATCGATTCAATGAATAGAAAGAAACGCAGTCACAAAACAAAATCCGAAACTGGGATGTAGCCTGTCGTCTGTTGTAGAAGCAGGTAGAATTCTGGAGTTTGAAAGTAGCTATCTCAGACCTAGGAATGAAAAAACAGATAGGATCACCAAGTGGTTTACAGTGGGTAAGGGTGTTTCAGCGACAGTTCTAGCTGTGTAACTGCTGTAGTAGTACCACCCCGTGGCACTGCCACTGTGCTAGGTAGAGCCATTAAAACATGTTAAATGGTGACTGCCTGAGAATCTCCAGTCATCCCCTTGGTGTACTGATGATGCAAACGCAGTGATGGCCAGGTGGGAATCAGGTGACTGATGAATGGTGAAGCAATGCAGGTACAATGTACAGAATCACAGAATTTAAAAATATACCTGTAAAGTATAAAAACTTAGTTTGTTCATTCAACAAGTATTTATTGAGTACTGTGATCATCCGCTAACCAAGCCAGGCCATCTCTGCTGTCTCAGAGCTCAGAGCCTGTTGGGGCTGAGGTGGGCACTAGAAATGGACAAGGAACCACAGTGGGTATGCCATGTGCCACGTTGAGAATACGCTCTGGGATCTGATGCCTGTGGAGTCACAGCAAGCCTTGTGAAGAAAATATGCGAGCTCAGGCTTGAAGGATGACGGTCATCTGGTCCGTCTGCTCACGGCCTAAAGCTTAGAGAAGCAGTGGTTTGCATGTAGCAGATGAGTGGAAAGCCAGGCCTGGCACTCTGTCCCAAGTGTGTCTTGTCTCGTTTCCAAATTTCTTAGACTTCTGTCTTTCATAGCATAACCTAGGTGGTCAGTAACGTATTGCTGGTTAGTTATCACCCTGTTGCAAGGCTGGTACCTGTCTTCAAATGGAGGAAGTGTGTTTGCACCTTTAATCAACGCAGTTTGCCGTTGGATACTTTGAATAACAGTGAGGATCAAAATCTAAGAATTCCATGATACGGTCTAGTAAATAGCAAAACTCAGATCATTAAAAATGTTAAAACTTTTAAGTACCTTAAATCTATATAAAAAGCACTCTGTTGTTGTTATGTGCCATCGAATCGGACCTGACTCATAGCGACCCCTCCTTGGGTTGCTGAGGCGGTATCACTATGGAAGTAGATTGCCCCATCTTCCTTCCGAGGAGTGGCTGGTGGGTTTGAACCGCCAGCCTTCTGGTTAGCAGTCAAGTGCCTTCAGCACTATGTTACCAGAGCTCCTAAAAAAGCACTCTAGTGATGACTTATTTTTAAAATATTTGTTAAGAAGCAGAATTTATTGACAGCGTCTTAAGACTGTAGCATATAGGTGAATCTGGTACTTTGTACTATAATAATTGTTGTACAAATGAACTTGAGAAAAATCTATTAATCCGTAATATATTTTAGATAAAAGAATTTTAAAAATAAATGACTCGAGCAATCTTGATGTATTTTTTAAAAACTGTTTATTGTGATTTGAGTGAACGTTTACAGAGCAAGTTGGTTTTCCATTCAGCAGTTCATACACATTGTTTCTGGACTGACTACAATCCCCACAATGTAACTTCCCGTCTCCTCCCCGCATTTTCTGTTTCCGTTTGTCCTCTTCCCTATGCCTTCCTGCCTCTGAGCCTTACCCCTGGGCAGAAGCTGCCCTTTGGGTCTCGTGTGGCCCGTTGTTCTAGTGAATGCTACCCCTCTAGTGTCGTTGTCCACATGGTAGGCCTGGCTCTGGCTGGGCTGGGAGTTGAGGCTTGATGGGTGACTGAGGGCCACAGTTGGTGGGGCTCCTCCAGTCTCTATCAGACAAGCTAGCTGGTCTTTCCTTATGATTTTGAGTGTTATTCTAGATTTCTCTCCACTCTATCCACCCTCTACTTTGATCCCTTTCAGAGCGGTCACGAGTGGTAGTCAGGCACCATCTAGTTCTTCTGGTCTCAGGGTCAAGGAGGCTGGGGTTCCCGTGGTCCAGGTGTCCTATGGTCTATGTTTCTATGCATCTTTATGTTTCTTCATTCTGCTTTGCTTTGGACGGAGAGAGACCAATAATAACACCTTGGATGGCTGCCGGCACTTTTTTAAGACCCCAGTCACTACTGAAAAGCTTGGTATTGCGTCTTCCCACATCTGCATGGGTTGGTTGATTATTTCTAATTGTATTTTGATGACAGATTGCTTGTGTATTTTAGCTTTCACTACTGTGGAATCACTGAGTGGACTTCTCTGGGTATTTTGTTTCTGATCACTTAGATTGTAAATGTAAATGCTTTACTTTGGATTCACTGTGTTTATTATGTTGTTGTTGTTGTTGTTATGTGCCGTCGAGTCAAACCCGACTCATAGCGACCCCTCCTTGGGTTTCCAAGGCAGTATCACTACGGAAGTAGGATTGCCCAACCTTCCTTCCGAGGAGTGGCTGGTGTTTAGTATAGATGCTGTTAACATTGATTAAAACAAAGTACTTGCTGTCAGAAGCTCTATTTTCGACGGGGCTTTCTTATAACCAGGAAGGAAATAATACCGTGAATTAGAATTGACTCCAGGGCAGTGGGGTTTTTTGCCCACTCCTTTTTTGGTAAATGCATTAATCTTTTCAGAAACATAACTGAAGTAAAGAAGAAAAAAAAAAATGCTCTTTAGTTTTATTGGCTTTTCCTTAGTCTGGGGGGTCCGACTTTTGTGGCTGCCGCTAACTCCTGTTTATTGGTGTCTTTATTTGCTAGTAACTGCTATGTGCCTAAGCACAGATGGTTCATGTTCACTGAACAGGACACAGCACAGCCCCCTGGTGGCTCACTGGTGAAAGAAGAGCTTGTTTATAAGATAAGCCCTGCTGTAAGACAGTGCAGGGAGCCTGATGGCATGGTGGTTAAACACTGGGCTACTCTCCAGAAGGTTGGCAGTTCGCACCCACTAGCTGCTCCTTGGGAGAACAATGTGACAGCCGCTCCCATAAAGATGACAGCCTTGGAAACCCTGTGGGGCAGTTGTACTCTGCTATGTGGAGTCTCTATGAGTCAGAATAACTCGATGGCAATAGGTTTGCTTTGGGTTTTTATAAGACCATACTGTCCCTTGGTTTTTCCTTGTTTCCATGGGGACACTGATTGTGTCTGACTCTTCCCTGCTACAGGTTCCTCAGTGGTGTGCCGAATATTGCCTTTCCATCCACTACCAGCATGGGGGCGTGGTATGCACCCAGGTCCACAAGCAGACTGCCATCCAGCTCGCTCTCCGGGTAGCAGACGAGATGGACGTCAACATTGGCCATGAAGTTGGCTACGTGATCCCTTTTGAAAACTGCTGCACCAGTGAAACGATCCTGAGGTTGGCTTTTGGGGTTCCTGTGCTCTCCCTGGTGGCTCTTAGCTTGTGTTGAACAGTCCTGCAAGGTCACACTGTGGGCTCTGATACCTGCGTGCTAGGCATCGTGGCGTATGATACAAATGGGTCTCTCAGTCACCAGCCCTACATGTACCAGTTGTTTTTCCACACTGTCTTCATCGGGAATTCCTTGTCTGAAATTCTTCCATGACTTCCCAGAAAACTCAGGAAAAAGGTACAGCTAGTTAGATTGGCCCACACAGCTCTTCAGGCTTATACTTCCTGAGCTCTGCCTCTCAGTGGGTCCACACACATGCACACACACACACACACACATCGCCCGTGTATAATGACATACGTGACTCTCTGCATGCCCCATGCATTCCTGCCTCTGTGCCTCTGTTCATGCCATTCCCTTGGCTTGGAATGCCGCACCTCTCCTGGGCTTGGCTGATTCCTTCTAGTTGTTCCGGACTTAGGCGAGGGCAGCCTCCTCCAGGAAGGTTTCCCTGACCCTCCCCTAGTCTAGATCAGAAAACCCTCTGCTGGGCCTTCCTGGAGCTTGGGATGAGCCTCCATCATGGCAGTTCAGCTCCAAGTCCTCCAGGTTCCAAGGATCCTTTTTGTGTCGGGTTTATTGTGATGTGTCCTTGAGCAGAGGGTTCCAGGAGCTTAGTACAAAGAAGAAAGAAGGGAAATTGGAGACATGGCTGCTTCTCAACCAGTGATACATCATAGCTTACCTAGAAACTGATGGTCTCTGCCCAGCAGTCTCTCCCCAAAAGCTGGGGAGAGAAGTGTCTCGGGCTCAGCCTGTCTCCCCATCTAGAACCCATCTGTCTGGCACAGCAAGGGGCACAGCCACTGGCAGGAGGGCAGGGAGGTACTCTTCACATCCACTTCCCAGATGTCTGCCCAGCTGGCTGTACACAGAGAGTCCGTGAGACTCGCAGGCGTGCCAGGCTGCTTTTCCTCTCACATGTGTCTTCAGAGCCAGAAGGCATGGGTCAGAGTACTGTGACACCACAGGGAATCTTCAGAGCAAAAGCATTGTCACCAGGACTTACTACAAATGTTCCTTCTGTTACTATTGCCACCATGTCCTTGAGTCATTAAATTAGTACATGTTTATCAATTACTCCTTGTGCAGATAGTTCATGGGTGATACAAAAGGTGTGTTAAACCTCTGTGCTACAGAGTTTGAAAGTAGTTGACAAGTTGGACAGGACAAGACACGTCCCCATGAGACAGCGAAGGAGTCCCTAAGCTTGGCGGGTTCTTTCTTTACCTTACGTTTTTACATGACCTTCAATTTGCAAATAGTTTTAATTCAGTTGTAAAGTGAACACTGAACTAGTGTCTACCACTGCCCCATAGGATTTCCAAGGCTTTAAATCTTTATCCATCTAAATCAACACCTATGGAAGCAGCAGTCAAGAAATCAGATGTCATATTGCACTGAGCGTGTCTTTAAAGTGCTGAAGAGCAAAGATACTTCTTTGAAGACTAAGGTGCACCTGACCCAAGCGATGATATTTTCAGTTGCCTCATATGCATGTGAAAGCTGGACTGTAAATAAAGACGCAAGAAGAGTTGATGCCTTTGAATTGTTGCCAAGAATACTGTAAGTTCCATGGACTGCCAGAAGAATGAACAAATCTGTCCTGGAAGAAGTGTGGCCAGAATGCTCCTTGGAAGCGAGAATGGCCAGACTTCATTTTCCCTACTTTGGTCATGTTGTAAGAAGGGACCATTTCCTACCAAGAAGGTTATCATGCTTGGTAAAGTGGAAGGTCAGGGGAAATGGGGAAGGCCCTCAACAAGATGGATTCACACAGTGGCTGCAACGATAGACTCAGGTATAGCAAGGATTATGAGGCTGGCACAGAACCAGGCAGTATTTCGTTCTGTTGTTCATAGGGTTGTTGTGAGTCGGAACCAACTCGACCGCACCTGACAACAAACAACAAATCTTTGCAAAAGCAGACTGCCACATCTTTCTCCTGTGGAGCAGCTGATGGGTTTGAACTGCCTACCTTGTAGTTAGCAGCACCGAACACTTTAACCATGATGCCACTAGATTCTAAAATTAACGTATATATTTTTCTATCTTTGATGCTAGTTTTATAGACTTTGAAACCCTTTGTAAAGAACTCTTGCCTGTAGCCATTTTAAAACTGAGATCATACAACAGTTTTCATCTTCATTAGTATGGAAACAAGTTTCTGTGCACACACACACACACGTACACATACATACATACACACACCCGTGTCAGTCTGTGTGTCAGTAGCCACAGAGAGAAATAATGGTGCAATCTATTCATGGCAGAGTGGGTCAAGGACACATCTCACCTTGTAAATGCCCATTAGGTGTTGGGGCTTGACTTGCATGTGTTGTTTCATGGTGGAAAAACCCATGTATGGCAGTTCTGGCAGCAGAGAAGGGACTGGAGTTGCTATGGAAATGTTGCTACTCCTTTTCTGCATGTAGTAGTGCTTCCATAATGTGGAGAATAAGGAGGTCTGGTGGTGGTCTGGTTAAGGCATTAAGCTGTTAACTAAAAGGTCAATGGTCTGAGCCCACTAGCCACTCCCTGGGAGAAAAACGTGCCAATCTGCTTCCGTAAAGATTGACAGCCTTGGAAACCCTGTGGGGCAGGTCTGCTCTATCCCCTAGGGGTGCTATGAGTTGGAATTGGCTCGACGGCAGGAGGTTTGGTTTGGGTTAATGTGGACAGTTGTTTTCAGGTGTGGCGTGTGGGGATGACAGCCAAGCACACTGTGAAGGTGGGTGGAAACGAGTGGCATGCTTTGGCTGTGGCAAGTTCTGTTCCTTCTGCTGTGGCTGTGCTGTCTGGTCCTCTGCTGTCATAGCTTCCTGTCACAGTTGCCCTTGTTGCTGGGGCATCGTACTGTGTGTCCCACCCTGCCAGCTCCTCGCCAGTGCAGAACCAGCACACATTGCACTGGTGCTTACAGGGTCTGAGTGGTGGACACAGGCCCACAGCAACTCCAGAGCCCCCTTTGAGAAGAGATAGGAATACCTTATTTGCTCTTGATGTCCTGTGCTCTGAAGAGGAGGCAATGTGGCTGTGAAATGAGTGTCTCCACCACTTACTGACTTGTCTGCTCACCTGGCTGTGCCTCGGTTTCCTCTTCTGTAAAGTGGGGAGGATTAATACACCTACTCACTTAGCAGGTTCTCTTCAGGATGAAATGAGTCAGTCACGGGACTGACCTGTAGCAGACACACCGTGCATGTGTTGGCTGTGTTCATCATTGTAAAGATCACCCCAAATCAGATCCATTTTCTCGAGGTCAGGGCACGTGGGCCTTGGTTATGGAGTGCAGCCATCTGTACTGGATGGTGCCTTTTTATTTGTTTCGTAACCTCTTAGTGTCCACTCTTGTACTGGGCATATACTGAGCACTTAGTAAAGCTGACCTTTATACCTCGTCCCATGTTTTGGACCCTGTTTATAACACCCTCGTTGTTCTCTAAGGATTTTTTCTGGCCTTAATCTTCTGGATTCCTGAATGTTTTATACCTGAAATAGTCCTTCCGCATTAGATACAAAGATACCTTGTAGAAGTGGCACATATTTTTAAATACTGACCCTTTAGAAAACAGATTTTAAGAGAGTTTCCCAAATCCTCATTTAAGGTCAAACTTGATGTATATAATTTTTGAAAATATTATTATCAATAAAACTTTTTTATGTTTTATGATATCCTGGGCTTTGGGAAATCTAGTCTTAGGCGTTCTGAATAAAACAACTGCGTTTCCTGCTGGCACTGACCCTGTGTGTTTCTGTAGACTTCTCAGGAGCACTGTACACATGGTGTGTAAATACCACAAAGGTCAGAAGTGCATCTCTGTGATAGGCAGAAAAAAGGAGGCGTCAGATAGCACGTTTTGGTGATTCCTCGAGCATGACGTGCTCACCTGGGAGCCAGGCCCTGCTTGCTGAGTCTGTTGTTGTTGTTGTTATGTGCCACCGAGTTGGACCCGACTCATAGTGACCCCTCCTTGGTTTCCAAGGCAGTATCACTATGGAAGTAGATTGCCCCATCTTCCTTCCAAGGAGTACCTGGTGGTTTTGAACCGCCAGCCTTCTGGTTAGCAGTCAAGTACCTTAGCCACTATGCTACCAGAGCTCCTGCCTGCTGAGTCTAGAGAGGTTCAAAGAAGCCGTCACCTCCCCCTCTTCACTAGGCCTGGGCATGTGTACGTGACACCCATGCCTCCTGCACCAGACAGGGAGGCTGTCTCCTGTGAGACTGGTGGTTAGGTGAGTGTTGCTGAGGAGGGAATACAACGCCATGCAATGCACTGCCGATGAGTCAGAGCCGACTCTTAGCGGCCCCTCCTTGGGTCTCTGAGGCGATATCACTACGGAAGTAGATTCCCCAACTTTCCTTCTGAGGAGCGGCTGGTAGGTTTGAATCGCCAGCCTTCTGGTTAGCAGTCAAATGCCTTAGGCACTATGCTACCAGAGCTCCTCATTTTTAACATTAAGGAAGTAGCAGAGATTAAAATAATTTGTTTCCTGTCAAACTAGGAACTGAACTCATTATATCGTGCTAATCAGCCCCAGCAAACGATGGTCTGAAATCTGGATTTCATGTGCATCTTCCTTTGCAACCTTCAAGATGATTCCCTGGGTGAAGTTTGAGGAAAGGAATGATTGCAGTTTATCACTGCTCACTTGGCAAGATATGGGATGCTCACAAGGACAAAAAGAAAGGCAGAGAGCAAAAACGGGTCACCTAAGGACCTAAGGATGGACGCGGACTTCATCACCAGAGTCACGGAGGCCAGGGCAGCAGACTCCATCGCTCAGCAGCGGCACAGATGCCGTTCACACTTCTGACCCCCAGCGTCCTCTCTGTAAATATGGCATGTGGCCTCCATGCAGTCACTCTGAGGATGAACTGAGGAAACGTGTGCAGTGGCCTAAGGCCTGGACCACATCAGCAGCCTATAAATGGTGTTATGGTGTTCCTTCCTTTGCTTTCTCTCTCGAAAGCGGTGAATTGAGGATTGTGTGGGGTTCCCAAGCCTACCGCCAGGTTCGATGAGTCACAGGACGATTCATGACTGGGTGATAGTCACCCTCTCAGCTGTGATTTACTGCAGCAAGAGGACACGGAGAGTCAGCAGAGAGAAAAGGTGCGGTGAAGTCTGGAGAGACCGGGCAGGGTCTGCGAGGCCTCTCCCAATGGAGTTACACGTGACATCCTTAATAGATGCTTTTGTTTGGTTTTAAATATGATCTCAAGAACTCGTGGAGGATTCCACTGACTATCACCAACGAATTCTCACTATCCCCAGCCCCTCACCATCACCCCTGCACTACCGTCACCACCACGTCCAGGAATGCTGGCCAATTTGCATGCCCTCCTCAAATAAGTGGTTGCTTCTGAGATGT